CAAAACGTCACCGGCCTTCACCACAGAACTCTTCCCTGCCAACCAACAAAGAGAGATCATCCAGCCAGACTCCAAAGCTGCAACTGGAATGACCTTCAAAGATCTCAACCAGCTGGCTAAGAACATCACCCAGTTCGACCCGAACTCCACGGGGGCCACTGCATCCAGGCCTACCTCCAAGATATGACTTCCTCCTAGAGGTGAGACCACATATGACTGACAGAGACATTTTATACCTCCTCAGATCCACATCCAGTCAAGAGGTACGAAGCGTCCTAGACCGACAACCTGCTCATGTCAAGTCAAACTACCAGCTGCTACGTGAGATCCTGATTAAAGAATTTAAAGTCCAGAGTCAGAACATGGTGTGTTAGTCGCCTTTGGAAACCAGACAAGGTCGTCAAAGACTCCCCAAGCCTATTATCACCGTTTCCGACAAGCCTACTTCGGTGCACATAGCAAACCTGAATCTGAAGAGGATCTGAACTTCAAAACCCTCTTCCTGAGAAACCTGCACCCAGGACTGAGTCGTTCATCTCGGCATCATGGCCTGCCAGTCACCATGACGCTTCAACAGCTACGTGACCTGACACACAAGGCCTACATCAAACAAAAGATGGACTTCAAAGAAAGGTTTGAAAACATCCACAGTGTCAAACTCCAGCAGCCAAGACACAAGCCTTGCACTGGAAGACACCCAGTTGGCATGACAACGCCACAGTCCTTCATTCAGGAGCACAGAGAATGCTACTCCCATGCTAACGACAGCGACCACTCCAACCACGTGGAAAAGTCATGGGACCCACCAGAAGGAAACAACTGGAATCAACGAGTGCATTCCAAAAGCATTCTATGTGGGTAAGCGACAACGAAACCCACCTCCACACCACACTGAGTGTGTCCAAGAACACGACAGTCTCCCTCAGAGGACATGGAGCGACTACTGAGTCGACTGCAAGTGTTCTTCAAAGACAAGCTGAACACAGAAGACCAGTGATCACCTTGCACACCTTCCTGAGACGACCACCTGTTCTCTACAACAACACAGAACAAAGTGGCCTCCACAGTCAACCACTGACAAACACCCAGAGGGTACCAGAAAACACCATCCTGGTTACCCATCACACCACAAGCTCCAAACTCAAGAACCATCTGTGTGCTGCCGCAACACCAGTAAGCACAGAAGTCAGACTGTCTGTCACAACCAGAGGCATCACAAGTGGAATGCAACAAGGAGACCACGTTTTGCACTACAGCTTCACGCATCCGTGCCAAACCACCTTCCCAATGTCTGCCAGAGAACTTCCTGCCTTACGGGACTGACCCCCAGCAGATCACAGAAGATCCCTTTCCAAGGCAAAGATGCGACAAGCTCATCAAAGCTAAGCCATTAAAGCAAAGGGGGAGCAAACACAGACTGAGACAGATCTACATACATACAGCATACATACAGTACATGCACTACACTACACTGTACTGACATACACAAGTTAAACACATCTACCATGAAAACATTCAACAAACATGTTTTTCATTGTATTAGCTACCCTTTCCACCGGAAACATGTAGCGATACACCCAACAAGATATAACACCTCTCATCACATGTTGACACCTGTCACTGCATCACAGTACCCATACTGGAGTCACTCAACTGCTTTGTTTTGTTTTACCTCTTCCTTCCCTTCTTCTCTTATTAGGTAAAATCCCTTTACCCCATAAGGGTCAAGGTTACAATATAAGGATTGACGCACACGCCTGACGTTTGCAAGTCACTTTAGAACGAATGTTAGCCAGAGAACTCCCTGCATCATTCGAATCAAAATTTGGAAGGTAAATTGGTCTAAACCTAGAACAATTTAGAAGTGGATAAAACAAACAAATCAAATTTAGTCACAAAGTTGATCAATCACCGTTTAACACAAACTAGAATAACGGTCCTAAAATTGAACTAAACTTTTTCCACATAATTGACTATATTGAGAGAGTGAACTCGTTAGGCCTAGAACCTAATGCCCTGCACCAGTAAAGTGACCAGTCATGGAGGAGTTGCTTTGTTGTTCGCTGTGTGTGTTTGCTTCTACTTCTTCTGTTTCTCCAGCGTTCAATGATGTCTTCTTCTCAACATCATCGATCGAGGGGGGAATATGTAGAGAATCGAGGCGAATCAAACACAACTTAATCAAATTAATCTCTCATGGATTAATTCACATGGCTTCAACACTCCAAGTTCTGGAGCCCACATTCCAGAGTCACGGAACGACTCCGTGCTGTCTGCAGATAAGGACTTTTATTGCCCCACAGGCCCAAGAGATGGGCACTAAACAGGACGAACGTGTCAATATGGTAATTTTAACTAAGACAAATCAGCTCCAAAATGGTGGAACGAGATCTCACATCAAAGACCCCTCTGATGCCCTGACAGAGATGTTCCACAGAACACCTTTGCCTCGTCCCCCTTCGAGTTGAACTCTCAGTAACCTTACGATTGAGATCGGAGATCTCACACATAAATCATATAAAACTCACCACAGAACAATTCTTGGACCTATAACAATCATAATTCTGTGTTGCCTACACTTCATGTGTATTATGCTTAGATCACATAATAACCATGTAATTGTTGTTAACTATTAACTCTTGTAATTGTTATACAACCATTAGAAGTGTGAATGCCTCGTTTGCTCTTAAACGAACCGTATTCTCGTAATTCAAAAGATGGCTTGATTGAAATCTGCGTAAAAGGTTTTGTTTTATGATTATAATAATCAAGGTTTAAACGATGGTCTTTTGTCTCTGCTAAGTGCTGGAGACCAGCTCACAGACCATGCATAAATTTATGATAAAGCAAGAAGTAGATCCGCCTCCAATTGGCCAGAAGCTTCTTGGAGGTTGGACTAGAGTTTAAGTTAAAGATCCGAACAAAGGACCTCATGATCAGATTTTTGTAGATTTTAGAAGATTTCAGGTGATTTTTGTTCTGTTCTGTAACTGTTAAGTCCGTGCCTCTCTCTAAAACCAGCAAGAGAGTGTTCTGTTCGTGCTTATCTCTGAAACAAAGAACATGTCCACATGCTTCTACATCGACTAGACCAAATTCGACCAGCAGCGAATAACCCATCAAGATCAGGGTTACAATTCAGCTCAGTCAAGCCATCCGACTCGCCTTGCTTTCATTTCTTTCCTTTATTTCCTTTTTCGTAAAAAGTCTCGTTTCAAAGTTAAGTTTGCAACGCGCTTCGAATTGGAAAAAGACTCTCATTCGCTTGCTAATCACACGTGACCAGCGGCGAAACTTCCATCCCTGCACTTCAAAGACAACAAACCACGCAACGGACCCGGCCGGGAAACCCCTTCGACGCGACGCAGACAAAGGGAATTCCCTCAGCCACTACAAAGCGCAAGTACTCCAAGCTCTAACTGAACTGGTGCTTTAATGTTATTGATAACCTCTCTAAGAAATGAAGGTTCAAATTAATGCTTGGTGGTCCTTTCAGGTTATGTCTTACGTGCATATAGAAAGTTGAAACTTTCCTCACTCTTCCAACTCACTCTTTCCCTTTCGCGACTGTATGAATGTGTGTGTGCGGGTGCGTGATTATGTTTAGACCTTAGTTTTGTGCTTAGAATAGCTAATAAAGTCTTGTCCATATATTTGAAAAGATAAATCTTCTTGTGTCGTGTTTGCACATTTAATGTCTTGTACTGTTCGATTTAAAGTTACCTTGCTAAGACATAGTGTTTCACTATAGATTTGGTTATAATTACGGCCCGTTCAAATGAACTCTAAGCGAGTCATTTGCTCGGTTCAGTGATTCGGTTCCATAGATTCATTGCAAATCAATGAATCATTTCCCTTTGAGCTAAATTGGCCTTCGGCCCCCTTTAATACATTTTATGTATATTATTATATGTTGCATTTGCTACAACGTTTTGGGGGAAGGGCCGGCAAAAGGTCAATCGTGTGGCCTGTGCTTCAAAACTTTCAACCTCTGTAGCACCAGTGCTATGTGCAAAAAAAAGGTTAATATACAGCCCTGGGCATAACGTAAAAGATCAATGTTGGGATTTTAAGAATCACTACTGAGATCGTTCAAATGAAACAAGCAAATTATCATAAAATCTATATTTTTACCCAGCCCTGACCTCTCATGCTTTCTGCTTTATCTTATTGTCCCAGCTCCTAAACCTTATTTTCACACACTATACTGTTCAAAAGTCACTAAGATTATTTTTAATTAAGAAATTAATACATTTCCTCACAGCAAGGATGCTTCAAATTGATCAGAGACTTATTGTTACCAAAAAAAATGATATTTCAAATAAATGCTGTTCTTTTGATAGGTTTCTTCATCGAAGATTGCTGGAAAATAATGTATAATCAGGGTTTCAACAAAAATATTAAGCAGCACAACTGTTTTCAACATGGATGCAACATGGAATGATCATCCCTGTGATGTCATTTCCTCCATATATAATATCCGTGTCCTGTCCTACACCTCACAACGTCACCATCAGCGGCAAGGAGAGACAAGGATGGGCTAAAAGTGAACGAACCGTGGACAGCACGGAAGATAGAGCCTTAACCAGTCAGGAGAACAGACAGACTCAGTTCTCAGCGAGTTTCAGACATCAGAGATGACATGTATGTTTTATTCATAAGAATGTCTGATAAAGAGAGGCGGCGATGGACAGATGGAACGAAAGTGTGAGAGACGGAGAAGGAAACAAGACGATGACAGAGGGAGAGCAGACTAGGAGAGAATAAATGCCTCTCATTTGATTTCCTGAACACAGTGACTGTAATGAAAAAACAACAATCAATTCCTGTGACCCGAGAAAAAGACTGTCCCTCGCTAATTCACACCTGCACTTCAACACACACACACACACACATAGAAATGTGTTTATCGCACTCTGCCATACTTTCCCTTTTTTGCTATCAGCATGTGTTTGTCTGTGTGTGTGTGTGAGTGAGAGAGAGAGGAGAGAGATACAGACCTCTCCCAACGAGTAGTAGTGGCGCGGTATCTGGGAGTCGGGGTAGACATTTTCAAGGTACCAGGAGAACGGCTTACACTGCAGTCTCTGTCTCAAGGATGCTCTGACAGAGATGTCTCCATAATCCACTTTAGTCACACCTGCAACAAAGAAACGTACACAGAATGTAAAACTAAAGCTATACATTTAGTTATTCCACCATGATTCTAGTGTGTTTTTGGGTGCTAAGGTGGTTTTTAGCATGTTGCTATACAATGCTCTGGATTGCTATGGCTTCGCAAGGTGGTTTGTAAGATATTTGGTTCAGATCTCTCCTTCAGTTAAACCATTCTATTGTTCCCCAGACAAAAGTCTGACCATGATCGCTTCAAAAATTTATAGCTGACCTCTCCTTCACAAGCGGCATTGAGGAATTATTCCTGCCTGTAGCACACACAATAAAGGACGAGATACATGCTGAACTTTGATACTTATTGTTAGGGTTTTGTCCAAACACTTGCCTTGCAGCACTAATAATCAGGAGAGAGTCTACAGAGGCATTCGTATAGAGGAGGGAAAGAATAACACAATACGCACACAGTCACAAAGATAGCTCTGAGCTGCACTGGATACTATTGACAGTGACATTAATATCTATTATCCAACGTCTCCTTCTGAGTCAATATGGCTCGAGTGCCCAAGAGCGCTGATAACACACACACACCACATTATAGAGAAAGACACAGAGATAGAGAATAGAAAGACATAGAAAGAGACCGAGACAGGGAATGGCAGAAGAGATAAGGAAATGTTATTTCAAAAAACTGCAATATTGTGTCTTACTTAGGGCTGGACGATATGATGATATTATTGTGTGTGTGTGTGTGTGTGTGTGTATATATATATATATATACTACCGGTCAAAAGTTTTAGATCGGTAAGATTTTTTATGTTTTTAAAAGAAGTCTCTCTTTTGCTCACCATAAAAAAAATACAAAAAAAATTAAAAATACAAAAAAAAAACAGTAATATTGTGTAATATTATTACAATTTAAAACAGCGTTTTTCTATGTGAATATATAGTGAAGTGTAATTTATTCCTGTGATCAAAGCTGAATTTACAGCATCATTACTCCAGTCTTCAGTGTCACATGATCCTACAGAAATTATTATAATATGATGCTCAAGAAACATTTATGATTATTATTATCCATGTTGAAAACAGTTTTTTTACATTTTTATTTCAGGATTCTTTGATGAATAGAAAGTTCAAAAGAACAGAATTGATCTGAAATGGAAAGCTTTTGTAACATTAATCACTACCATTCAAAAGTTTGGGGTCAGTAAGAATTTATTTTTTATTTTTGGGGGAGAGAAATTAGAAAATACTTTTATTCATCAAGGATGAGTTAAATTGATCAAAAGTTACAGTAAAGACATTTATAATGTTAGAAAAGATTATATTTTAAATAAACGCTGTTCTTTTGAACTTTCTATTCTTCATAGAATTTTGGGGGATAAAATGGTACACGACGGTTTTCAACATTGAAAATAATAATTTATGTTTTTTGAGCATAATATCAACATATTAGAATGATTTCTAAAGGATCATGTGACGCTGAAACCTGATGTGTAATCAGCAAAAGTAATGATGTTGAAAATTCAGCTTTCAAATTACATTTTAAAATCTATTAAAATAGAAAACAGTTATTTTAAATTGTCATAATATTTCACAATATTACTGTTTGTATTTTTTTTTTTATCAAATAAAGCAGCCTTGGTGAGCAGAAGAGACTTCATTTAAAAACATAAAAATTCTTACTGATCTAAAACTTTTGACCGGTAGTGTATATATTGACAATATCTCTCTAATGCCCCGATGTTGATTTCTAAGGGGAAAAAATGACAAAAAATATGTTTCACAAGTAGCATGTAATGTGACTGACCAGGTGAGATGATGTAGAAGAAGTTCTTGAACTCATCCATCCAGACCTCTGCCAGCCGTCTGTTGTTCTTGTTGATGATTTGCCCAGTTCCACCAGGGAACGTGTACGGCGTCGCCTTACGGAACACGTGACCGACGTGAGAACATGTGACAATCTCAAGCGTGCCCCCGCACTGCCAAATCTAATCAACACAGATACATATTAGTCCACAGAACATGAGCAAATCATCAATAACCGCAGAACAGCATACTATATATGCAAAAGTGGAATTGTGGGTAGGATTGCGATGGTGGTTGAATGATTTAATCTCGGGGGTGAGATTTACCCTAAAGGAGATCTCCAGGTTCTCTCCTCCCCAGATGTCCATCCCTGCATCGTATGTGCCAATCTCCTGGAAATAATCTCTGTCTATGGAGAAGAGACCACCTGCCATGGTGGGGGTCCTGATAGACAATGCATAACAAAAAAAACAAAAAACACACACAAGTGATGTGAAATTCTGTGATGCAAAAACAGGCCCTTCAGGGGAAAGATCATATCTTATAAAAGCAGCTCTTCCTCTCCAGTTCACTCCGTCACATACAAGCATGCTGCGTGTCACTCAGAGGAACGAGATCTTCAATAGTTATGACATGTTTGCATGTGCCTATTTTGGCAACAGCATATCCTTCTTTAAATATCTTTCACTCTTGTTTGTCCATTTCCCTCAGCAGGCACCCTCTGTTCTTTCCTGTTTTCCTTCCATCCATCCCCTGCAGCTTGTCTCATTTACAGTTGTGTTTTCCTCAAGTAAGAACCTGTTTTTGTTATGCTCTGAAGTTGTTTTAAAAGCGCAGAAAACCAAGCACTGAGGTAAAAGAAGATGAAACAAACTGAAGCGTCAGAAACACAGGATCTCTAAAGAAATCAGGCCGCAGAAAGCTAAGAACTACTCTGTTCCTGTAGTTATAAGGTGAGCAAGTAAACACTCTCCTCTTGGTAAAGCGCTGGTGTGGATTAAAACTCTCTCATCTGTGTGTTAACTCTAGTGTTTAGCTGCAGGGCTGGGGAAACACTTTTAAATTACGCAGCATTAAGTTGCATGTAAAATACCTTTTTGGAAAGTAAAAAATAAATGTTGAATTTACATTTAAAAGGACTTTACATATACAGTATGAGCCATTGCCTAGTGATTAACAAAAAATGCTCTGATTCATTGTGTTGTGGTGCTCCTGCGGGCAACGCAAGTTCAATTCTGGCTTGTGACATCTAAATCATTATTTTTATACAGTATGGCATATATTTTAGTGTCTGTTAAAAAATGGGTGTCCCACTTACCATGTACTTACATTGAAATGAATAATTTGATACAATGGACTTATTGTGTACATACATGTTTTTACATTGTACTTAAATGTTAAAAATACCAGTATGTAATTACAGCTGTAATTAATATATGTAATTACATCTGTAATTACACAGCTGACCCATCCCTTACACTTAAACCCACCCTTAAACCTACCCATACCACCACACCTGTCCCTAACCTTACCCATATCACATCTCAATAGCAGCAAAAGTGATTTACAATACAACATAGTACTTAAAGCCACTTAATATAAAGTGGGACCAAAATGGGGAAAGCTTTCTAAAAGGATCATAAATTATGCCTCTGAAAAAAAGCTGTTTGAAATGGAATACTAATGTGTAAAACAATTGACAAAAGTTAGTCCTCTACATTGTCACATGGCCACACAGGGTATTAGAAAAAAAAGGTCAATGGGTCTCATTCACTAATAATTGTGTGGATTATTTCGTATTTGTATGCACAGGAAAACTTCTCACAAAATAAAGATTTCATGCACAAATTAGTGCGTATGCATGCTTAGTGAATGAGGCCCATTTTCTCCGAAAAATGCAGTTTAGCTTACTTTGTATGTTTCATTTTGTGTAAAAATGTCTACTCTTGGCTGCCTTCTGAAATAGTTTATTCAATTTACTTCTGTTAATTTGTTACACTGTAATTATTACACACACACATATTACCATATTATTATTTTTATAGTACAGGTCTAGAGTAATTCTAGATTTTTGATTAGTCAATTAAATTCAGCAGTCAAATATTTCACAATAATGTCTGTTACCCACTTAAACATTTATATATTCAGTTATAAACACTATATAACTGAATATATAAATGTTTCTCATAAAATATTCTGTCATGTAATGTCAGTCTAAACCTCTCACTGGAGGAAAATATTATAATGATTTTAATTTCGGTCTGTTCATCTCACAAACTTACACTACCGTTCAGAGGTCAATAATGTCTCATAAAGTGTATATATTAAAACCTAAAATACAGTAAATAATATTTTGAAATATGTCATATGATCCTTCAGAAATCATTTTTATATGCTGATTTGGTGCTCAAGTATCATTTCTTATTGTTATCAATGTCAAAAACAGTTGTGCTGCTTAATATTTTTATTAAAGCCATGAAACATTCTTTTTAGCCTTCTTTGATGAACAGAAAGTTGACAAGAACAGAATTTAGTCGTAAACGAATTAATTAATAAGCAAACAAAGTAGATCAAGAATCATTTTGGAATCAAGGATTGTGACTCCCAGAATCGTAATTGATCGTATTGTGAGATGCCTAAAGAATCCCATCCCTAGTAAGTAGACTACTTTTATGCAGCTTTTGTGCATTTGTCCTTATTTTCCTATTGCGTTTCATAGGGAAAATAAAAGCACAGTGGTCTGGAATGACATCAGGGTGAGTAAATAATTACAGAACTTAAATTTTTTGGTCAACAATCCCTAGTAAGGTCATTCTACCATGGACATACACCATCCTATTCAATCTTGATCTGACTGCATAACAAAGATTTTGTGTGTTACCTGACAGGCAGCGTTCTGTCTCCTTTCCTGCGGTCCATCTCTCTCTGTGGAACCGGATACCAGCGGAAGTTCAGTTTCCAGTTGAACCCACCGTATGTCATATCAGACCCTGCCATGTACTCAAATGTGTCATCACTGATCACGTCAATGATGGGACACACTACGGTTTTCCTATGAAAGACAAACACAAAAGAGATATTAGCTGTGCACTTTCAATGCTTTCACAAAGACAACCTCAACTAGCAAAATAAATGAGTTTTGTCTGCCACAGAATGCCCTTTTTATTTTGAATTCAGCTGGCACACGACAGACACACCTCTCTTTACTCAAACAGATGCAGACACAAATCAGAAGGGACGTCTCGCTAAACTTGTGTCATCAATCAGCACCAAGAAGCCCGCTGTGATGCTAACCCAGGCAATGAGGATGGATAATACCCACACACACACTTTCCTCTCCTAAATTCTGCAGACTGAAGCTTCATCAGCTAATGATGCCGCCTGAGGCAACACAACACAGAGAATCAGCATGTGTATGTGGGCATGTGCGTATCTTTAGAAGAGAGGAGATATTCTCTGCACATAAATCCTCAAAGAATCAAATTCAGATAAAAGTAAGTTCATGTTTCTATACCCTACAAGTTCTCCATTTCAAGCACAAATGCAGCCTGAGGTGAAACCAAACTACAAAACTGTAATAATAAAGCACAGGGAAAAAACGAAACTCTGAGAGCTATTGATCGCTCAGCTCTCTGCAAGCCAACATGCTAAAAGGGTGGAAAAGAAAGTGTGAAAATGACTGGTTTGTTTTTATGTTCCACCACAAATTGCAGAAATTAAATAAAAGGCATGTGCTTATGGGTGTAACTTTTTTTGTTTGTGACCACATATATGTGTAAGATTTCAATCGACTAGTGGAATGATATTCCCAACCAATGAAAAAAAATCTGAAAGAAAAAAAAAACAATTCTCTTAAGTCTTCATGCTTTAATTATTGGGGAGGGGGAAATTCTGATATATACAGTATATATATATACACATACATACTGTAAATATGCATTCATTTTCAAGCAAGTATATACCTTAAAGTATTGCATCTCAGAAGTAGTAGAGCTTACTTGTCAAGTCTGATGCGAGCGAGGAGAGGCTCAAGCCAGCCGGTGGTGCACTCACAGTGGGCATCCAGGAAGGTTATCACCTGACCTGTGGAGATGGACGCCCCCTTCAACCGAGCACGAATCAGACCCGAGCGCTGCTCCATCCGTACCACCCTGACCGGCACCTCCAACTTTCGCACATACTGCTCCAACTGCCGCTTCAGAAAGTCTACAAGAACACAAGAGGTAGTTACACACTGGTTTCCCATAAACAAGAATTCTATATTGGTAACTTGGGGAGGATGTGACTTTGCATACATTCAAAATAATAATTTCCTTATAATATTCATCAGTGAGTGGATGCAAAGAGACTGAAAAAAATGACATCTTCCATATGCAAACACATACATCGAATACACGTTTTAGCCAGGGACTAAGGCACAATCTGAAAAGTTGGGTGAGGCACATTATTAATCTTGTCTAGCTCATGAATATTAATTACAGTAGGTCAGGCAATATTCGTAACCGATTTGCTGATTACCTCTAACCAACTCCGTGATCATTTGTAAGACTGACAATGCCTCCAATGGACTAAGGCTTTTTTTTTGCCCTTTAATTCGTCTTTTTCCATGGCTGTCTACAACTTTTATTCCACACTATGGATGAACAAAGAAAAGCTCTTGAAATATTATGATACTGGCCAAAAACTGTGGGGGCATAATCTCTTGATGATGGATAGGAAACCTTTCATTAACAATTTCCCCCAGTTCAATCATTAATCAAGTATTGCTCTACATCAGCATCTGCAGGGTCGGCTCTCTCGGCACATGTGGATCTGCATCCTCAGCTGCAGCAGCCATCTTAAAATACTGCTGTGGGATATCAGTGCTTTCCGTTTCGATTAAATCATCTAAGCCACTGAATGGCTTGATATGTGTTCAGACATAAAGATCAGACTGAAACTGTGAAACAATACAGAAGCAGCCTGTGAAACATCAACATTCATTTACAGTTACAGTACATTTATGATTGAAATAACATACTTTAGGAAAATGTTTTTTTTTTTAAATTTTACTTTTTTGTTGATATATTACTTTTTTTTAACATAATAAATGTTTGTAATATATTCAATTAATGAACCATGAAACAGCTTTAAATCTAGAAGTTATGTTCTGTATTCCAGATGCTCTTCAATTAAAACAAATGAGTTAAACTGAGTTTTTATATTATTCATATTGGGTATATATTCATATTCATTTAAATACTTTATTTCATCCTGCAGCCCCCTAGGAAATTTCCTGAGGGCCTCTGGTTGAGAACCATTACTGTAAGTGGATTATTTTAAAGGACAGTTCAACAAAAATATGTTTATATTTCCGACAATGGATCACAAAATTTAGCAGAATGTCCATGATGTTCATTTACAACCAATGAACGTGAAACGAAAAACGGCCCCAGTACCCACTAACCTACATTTCATGGAAAAGGACATCCACAAGGGCATATGACATACATTTTCCTAGGATAAAATATGTACTTAAAAAAAAAAAAAATTAAATATGCTGGTTTTGAACAACATGAGGGGGAGTAGATGACTGAATTTTAGTGAGACATTCCTGTAACGAAAGCAACAAATAAAATCTGTACAAAGGTCCAAATCTGTCCCCCAAAAAAATCTATATATGTCAAACACTCCCACAGATCCAATAATAGGCCTTTAGAAAAATCTGACAGGAGGACATGTCAGTGTAATGCAGTCTTACAGAGGGTTTATCTGCTCTCTCATGCTTTATTTGAGGTGTGATCTGTGGAACAGAATGCTCTGAACTACAAAGAGAGCAGTAGCAGCAACAACATAAGTTCATCCATCCTTCATTATTTCCACTTAAAGGAGTAAATATTATGGAAATGAAAGGCAATGCGAACTCCATTACATATTGTTTAAAACAAGTCCAGTAGATGCACCACTCAAATGAAAACTCGTCACTCTCAGCAGAAACGTGAGCAAATCTATGCACACGCATAAATCAATATCCCGCCGTATTCCTCTAGTCCTTTAAGTGGAAATAAAGAGGAGGAAGAGAGTGGGCGGAAAGAGAGAGGAGGAGAACAAGAGAGATCATTATTAGAGGACAAAATTGAACGGCAGGAAGATGAGAGAAAGAATTTGGGTCTTTATCTCTCCACAGGAGCGGCAGATTAGCACAGATGAGGGAGGAGGGGGGCTGGCAGCTATTCTTATGCAGGATGTGACCTGCGCAGTCAATCTATTACCAAATGAACTAGTGCCTGTGTGTGTGCGCGTGACAGAGAGAGAAAAGAAGACATCGATGTGTCTTTTTTGCAACTGTCAAAATGTCACAGTGGTTAGACAGGAGTGTGTGTGTGTGTGTGTGTGTGTGTACACACCATGCATGGGCCTCAATGATGCTTCAAAGCACTTCTGGATGAAGACTCTGTCAATGTCTCTGCAGTCTCTTTTACCCACAGACTGAATTCTGATGTCATTACAGTTATTCCAGCTGCATATTTTCTGTCATGGTGGGCACTTTCCATTGACTTTTATACTGAGGTAATGATGTTTTTCGATCCCTACCTCTGATCTAAAAAGATTAGTTCACCCCACAATGAACATTCCTTCACCATTTATTCACCCTCATGTTGTTCCAAACCTCAATCACTTACTTCTTTGAAACTAAAGAAAAAATGTATTTTTTTTGTTAATACCGTGAAAAGGAGCTAATTTTCAGTGAAATTTCACATACATAATGTCCAATGTCCATTATCAATAGTGAAGCGATGTATGAAGCAACAGCTCAAACAAAAGTCACTTGTTGGTCAAAGCTGGGAACTTGATTTGAACCCATTGCGGAATCTGTGTGGGGAAATTTTTTGTCAATTAGGTTCAGTCAATTGACCGTTCTCAAAGACCCGCCCTCTTCGGTTACTGTTGCTATTTCCGACAAGCCACGCTGCTCTCACGCCACACACCATGTTCTCACACAGTGAAAAATATATTGCAAAGAGGACCCTGACAAGCTGACAGACCAGGTTACTTTTGATATGAAAGAAACTCTCAACTTTCGAATTTGGTCATTTTTTAAAGAAATTTAAACAATACATGCCGTTTAGTGGCTCTTTAATGTGTTGACAGATCGCTTTTGAGCCTCATAAAGCTGCTCATGAACCAATCATCTTTTCCTTCTAGGTAATTTATAGCATCAAATAAACATGAATGAGCATAAGAAGGAATGTCGTTTTAACCGTGGAAAGACATCAGTACACTCAGTTTTTCAAGTTCTAATCGCTAATGGCGGATTATGATTGGTCAGATCACCTGTCAATCAAACTCCCTGCGAAGGGTCAATTGGGTCCTGAAACGACAATTTTGACTTTCCTTGGTCTGCAGAAAAAAAGTCACACAGGTTTGGAAAAACATGAGGGTGAGTAAATGATGACAGAATATTCCTGCCGTTTTCTTTGCGAAGGTCCTCATTACTTAGGTGATTTCAAGTTTTTGTCCACACAGAACATGCAAAACCTGACGCAAAAATTAAACAAAAATTGATCCTACTAAGAATACAAACACACATACAACAACAAAGTATTTTACTAATGTTAGCTTTTAGCCACACTGGTATGAAAACAAAAGTAGTGTACTCAGCTTCCTGTAGTCAACAACACACAATATGACTCAATATGAACTAACACACATACTCAAAATAGAATAAGGCAGACACACACATTTGTGAAACCGCTAATGAGGAAAAGATAGATATTATCACTAGCAGTTACATTTACCTTCGAATACAAACCATATATCTGATAACTAAAAGAGAGCAAAAGAAATACAAAGAGGAACCTCAAGAGAAAGAGAAAATCAATTCAGTGAAAAAATATATGAAGGACAGATTGAGAAAAGGATAGTATTTTTGAGATTTTAAGTTAATATTTTGAATTTTTGAGATTTTAAGTTAATATTTAAATATTTAAACAACACATTCACATTTTTGTGGTTCTCTGAAGTTGGTTAATGGTCACGACATGCAGGTAAACAAAAAAATGTCTTTATGTATTTAATTACATTTTTTTATTTGAAAAAAATAAATAAAATAATTTTTACATTTCCATAATTTGATTAAACATTATCTTTTTTATCTACACACAAAACCTTTCCAATTCCCTCACAATACCCAGTTTGGGAAACCATGACACAGTGAACTCAAAACAATTCAGCTGCAGTACTAATACAGACAAAGTGGGTTTGAATCTAGCTCACAACTTTCCCAAATACTATTTCATTCCTCTTCTAATTTCCAAACAGAGCTGTGAGTTGTGTTTATGTATGTGTGTGTGTGTGTGTGTGTGAGAGAGAGAGAGAGAGAGAGAGAGAGAGAGAGAGAGAGTGCTGATCACATCACAGTGCTGTCAGCGGTCTCTTTGGCTGCTGTCTGTGTTTGTGAGTGAATGTTAACCCCGGAGCTGTCCACCCCAAGCCGGGTCACATGGAGCACCCGAGCAGGGCTTTCAGCAGCCATGGCAATGATGCCCAAGGGCAACAGAGTTGTGCAGAGGTCAGTTATATAGAAGTCATTGGCACTCCAGAGCAGCTGCCATCGAGACCACTGGCAGCATGAGGCACAGTTCTACAGTCAGAGGTCACTCGGGTCACTCAGAGTCAGTGGCGAAAATGGGATTGTGTTGTGAGATGTGACGGGATTTACGTCACATCTTTACATATAAAGAAGGAGCCTCGGCTAGTTGGCTATATTGCGTGTGAGTATACTGAAGGTGGAGATTTATACAGCACTTGATATAATTAAACTTACCAATTTTATGGTGGATCCAGAAAGGATCAAACTCAAAGTCATAACCAGAACAAAAGTGGATGTTTCTTAATTGTTCAGACGACATTTTCCGGTGAAAATTATTATGTTTGCCATACTTCCAAAAAGAATAATCTGTGATTCTGAATGCCAGTATCCACACCGGCGCGGTGACTCACAGCCTCACAGTCTCCTCAAACATTGTGTTCATCCACGCTGTGACGTGTCGAGGGTGTTCAAGTACAACTCATGTAAAGTTGATAATTCTGCTTATGACTGCAATTGCAGATTTCAAACGAAGATGGCGACAAAGAGGAAAAACGCCGGACCGCAATTCACATACAATTCAGATAACTTAAATGATCTAAACTAGATCTTCTTACCTCACATCTCTAAGTCTAACCACTCTTTTAATTTAACAATCAATAGGAAACAATATGACCCATCACAAACAAATAATTCAGTTGTCCGATTCAGTTGAACTTCATGACATTGTACAATTTATGACGAATTTTTTACACACTGTCTTTGTTTTACTATACTTTCATAAATGTTCTGTGTGTCTGGTCGTGTCACTGCCTCGACATTCAGCAGATCTCTGTTTACATCAATGCAGGGAGAAGCGACGGCACTGCAGTGGCAGAGAAAATTATTCAGTGCTATGGGAAAAAATGCAGGTAGAATCAAGCGCAGCTCTTTCTAAGCCTAGACTGAATAATTACACTAATAAGAACAACACGGCAAAATCCGATTTCCCACGTATCCCTGCAGAGCAGTATACATGATAACTTGATTTATCATTTAAAATACCTCATGAGTCATTTTAATGAGTTTTACAGTGAGGTGTTAGGCTTAATAGACTAACGTATATATCATTTCAGGATTTAATAAAATTTCAACCACAGTGGATGATATCCACAATGCATAGTTTATAAAAGAGCAAGAAAGCTCAAAGCTTTTTTTATACCAATTGTTTAATATTATGGTTCACATATTCTAAAATAGAGATGCACTGGTAATAAAATTCTGGTCCATACCAAAAAAACAATAAATATTTTCATGTTATGGCTGATAACCGATAAATGGCCTATTTTAATTCTGCTTGGTCCATAAATTTCTATTTAAATTTACAAATAAAACAGTAAAATTAAAATATTTCTTTTAAATGCTACAAGTGGCTTTGGCATAGGTATATGCGAGGGTGTCTTTGTGCAAGTTAATGATAATATAATTCCAGGTATGTATTCATTACACCTACAAATCAACTAATCCCATAATATAGCCAAATTACAGGTTAGAGCAGATAATGGAAAAGTATACAGCTGCAAACCCACACACAGCAGCAGGCACACAATAGAGCTTGTCAGAGTTAACACACACTCTCTTTCTCTCTCCATATAAATCTGTCTTAACAAACACGCTCGCTTTATAGTGCGTAAATCACATTTCATCTTTGTCGCTAATACGCAACAAGGTCACCGGCCATCTTTTTCCTCAATATGTGTTCTGTTCCCTTTTACTGCACACAAACACACACTAACACGAACACACACACACACACAATGAAAGCAAAACTGACATGATACAGGCATTTTCAAAGAGTGGAAAGTACAAAATCATGTCATTATCTCTGGAGCTCTACAGTTCAATGTCCTCATCTTAAAGGAACACTCCGACTTTTTGGGACTTTAGCCTATTCACCTTACCCCCCAGAGTTAGATAAGTCCATACATACCTTTTTCATCTCCGTGCGTGCTATAAGTCTGTTTGACGCACCCACCGCTAGCCTAGCTTAGCACAAAGACTGGATGTGAATGGTTGCAGCTTTCATACTAATCCAAATGAGTGACAAAATAACGCAAACGTTTTCCTATTTACATGTTGTGGTTTGTATAGTCACAGAGTGTGCAAATATCAAGGCCATATGAGACACAGACATCTTTTGACCGTATAAATACTATATTTTCTGAAGGGGAAGCACTGCTACTTGGGCAGAGTGATAACAATCACCTGAGACGCACCGTGACGAGGAGCAGAGAGTTCGCTTCGCTCAGCGTTGGAATAAAGAGTCAGCAATTACTAACGTTAGATAGAAAAGCAAGGTTTATCATGGGTGTTTGCTTTATTGTATGAGCTGTGACAATAAACAGGGGAGACCAGGTAATACAGTACCATGTTTCATTGATTTCCAACCAAAAACGCACCCAGATTTATAAATATCACATGAATAAATAATTATTATTACAGGAATCAATATATTTTAAATGCAATTTATTAGCTGAACCAAATGTATTCAACAGTAAATACATTTGCCTATATAAGTATTGCATTACTATAGGATAGAATAAGGGGAAAGTAATAGCACAAATTGTTTTTGCACAATGAACTCACAGCCTATCGTACCCTTTTGCACGCTCAAGTTCGTTATTTCCATGGTTATTTCAAATTTAGGCTACTAGGCGCGCCGCGCGCAGGGTGCAAGTAAACGCGCTCGTTTTTTTTTCCCAAGCGCGTCCGCACCGCATCAAGATAAAAACATATTCATACCCTAATCATATAATAGTGTCACTAACGTTACATTAGATCTGGCTAAAGGCACTGTTACAGTAGATCATCTAAAAACATAACGGAACACTTACCTCAGCCGCAGGTCCACTTGTCCTGTCTGTGCTATAGATGGGATGGCCGTATCCTTCAGCACATTATGGTCCGTGTGGCAAATTCCATTTTTTCAAAATAGTCGTCCTCATTGAAATGTACCGAGCAAACGTAATGTCCCTTGATAATCTTAGGTGTGTCTGGATCAATATCCAGAGTAAGTTAGCCATTTCTTCATCCAGTCAGCGTTTTTAGTTGGAATTCTGTGAAACATGGTTACCTCGCCTGTTTACTGTCGCAGCTATTTACAATAGAGCGAAAACCCATGACTCTAAACTACGCTTTTACTATTTATAAATTGCTGACTCTATTACCCAAACACCGAGCGAACTCTCCGCTCCTCACCACTGCGTGTCTCCGGTGATGCGGTTATTACTCCGTCAGTGCTTCGCCTTCAGAGAATAGTTCCCAGGTTTTATACGGTTAAAAGATGTCTGTGTCTCATTTGACTTTGTTATTTGTACATTATGTGACTATACAAATCACAACATGTAAATAGGAAAACGTTTGCGTTATTTTGCCACTCATTTGGATCAGTATGAAAGCTGCAACCAGTCACATCGAGTCTTTGTGCTAAGCTAGGCTAGCGGTGGGTGCGTCAAACAGACTTATAGCACGCACGGAGATGAAAAAGGTATGTATGGACTTATCTAACTCTGGGGGGTAAGGTGAATAGGCTAAAGTCCCAAAAAGTCGGAGTGTTCCTTTAACTCCGAGATCTGTGCGAGAGTATTTATTTGTGTATGCGAGAGACATCTGTGCTTTCATTCTCTCCTCTCAGTAGTAAGCACCACAAACATCTGTCAGCGTGAAATGAAAATTCACCTAATCTATTTTCTAAAGACATGATATAGATCTTTTTGTGAATGATTCGTAATACCTCATACCTCGATCTTCTGGGAAAACAACAGATTGAGTCCACTTAAACCCTGCCTCTTTCTAACAATCAACCTCAAGCTCACATTCAGATCTGCCTCCATCCAATCAACAACTGATGGAAGTCGTCACTCGTCACCCTACATTTCTTCTTTTCCAATAATCTATTTCTAGATGTACGTCACTGCTACATTGTATTATTTGAACCATTACTAACTACTCTTTGGTTGAATGTGAATGGAGAAATGTATACAGTAGCAAAATGTCTAAGCTTCTCCTTTCCATTCACTGAAAGGGAATGGTTGATGCCTTTCAATACGATTTTCAAGGTTTTTTAATAAAAAAAATGGCTTCATTTCTTTATGGTTCTGAAATTTAAGACATAATATTCCTTTCAAAATACTTAGAATATAACAAACTTTTTTATGTTATATTTTTATACCTTTCATTCTGTAGAAAAGAGCAGCATGAGAATTCTTTCAAATATCTCTTTTTATGCTCCAAAGCAGAAAATCATAAAAGGTTTTAACAAACATGAGGGTGAGAAAATGATGCCATAATTTTATCTATTTTTTAACTATTTCTTCAAGAAAGGGTTTCTATTCAGCAAACACATGTTGGTAAAACTATAATTATGAGGACATGGTTTTTATACTGAACTTAAAGCTCCCACCCATCACAGAAAACTTTCTGCATTTTTATATTTTTAATAAAAAAAAAAAATTTGTTAATTTAGCATTTTGAATTACAAGGACATCGGCGTGTCCTCATAATGTAGGGGGCGTGGCCAGAAACCTGAATACACACCAGAACATAAGGACTTTGGGTCCTCATAATCTAAGTGCAACCAGAACACATACATACTTTTGTTTTTCCTTTCATGGTGAGGACTATTTGTGGGACCATTGCACACACACTCACCTCTCTCACTGGCATCATCCACTAGCACGATTTCCTCTAGCAGGTGTCTGGGAGACCTGTCCATGACGCTGTGGACTGTTCGGAGCAGTGTGGTCCACGCTTCATTATGGAACACGATCACCACACTGGTGCGTGGGAGATCGTCAGGATACAACTTTGTTTTACACCTGAAAAAAAACACACACAGAGCCAATCAGAATGGACAAAACAAGGATAATCAAGATAAAAATTACTTCAATGGCTACATTCTCCGAAATTCTCGCCCCTCCAGAGCACAGACAGACACCGGGTCTGGAGAGCTGCAGAGAACTGTAGAGATGAGAGGAGATTAGCACTTATCCGAAACACACAGGCGGTTATGAAGAAGAGGTAAGTGGAGAGCTGCCAAAGAGACTTTGAACATATCTCATCCAGTGTGAGGTGCTCTAAAAACAGTTGACGCAGGAATAAATTACGACAGTCTGAATGAAGTGTAACCTTCAGAGTGAATGAGCTAACAATAAATATATGAAGAAAAATTATGTATTATTACTGATGTTAGCACTTTTATCTAATAAAAGCATTTTTTTTTTACTTTTTTTTACTTGTTCTCCGAGAAACATTTGCTAAAACAATAATAGAAGCTTAGCAGGATGCTTTCATACAATGAAAATGAATGGGCCATGATATAATGTCAATGGGCATTTTGCGCCGGGTAGTTATAGGAACTTAGTTATAGGAACAAGGAACCAGGGTGGTTCCCAGAGAAATAAATGTTCCCCTTGGGTCATTTCCCGTTACATTCACACTGCTAGTAATTCTGAAGTGACAACTTGTTGCTGTGACTTATTTTGACAGCAAGGCGGACATTTATTTTGACAGCGCTGAGAATGCCAGAGCATCACACAACGCCTATTCTTCATCTTTATTAGTTTACAATCTGTTTAAAAGTCCTGTCTAATACGTTCTTAGAAAAAACTGTAATACAAATAAAGTATATGAAAAAGTATTAGGGTTTGTAGTGTGGTTGATGCACAATGTCGCTAGTTTCGCTTGGTCCCCTCAAAGGTTGAGAGGTCCATCTACAGTATCACTGTTTTCAATGTTCATAGAGTTAGTTCTTATAGTCTGATAAACCATCACAACACACCAAATTTAAATCTAAGAAAGGGGAAATATTTTCAGTAAATGACTTTTTTTAGTTGGTTTTTAAGTGAACAATATGGAGCCCGTAAAGGGATATGGTAAAAGAATAATACTCTTTTGCATTTAGCATAACATTTTAGCATTATATTAGCATATTAGCATTCCTGCTTCAGTATATTAGCATAAAAGTATCAAATGCTTTCACACACTCACAGAATTATAGCACTCTACCAAGAAAGTATGCGTTCACTCAAAAATGTTGCGTTCCCCCAAGAAACTTTCGTTTGCATCCAAATCCTTTGTTTTGTGAGTTTTGCGAGCGAAAACAAACTTTCTCAAGGGAATGCAACATATCTGAAATTTAATTTTTCCTCCTATCTCAATTTTGTCCCCATCACCATTGTCCCCCCAGAAAGTTTTATTTTATTCCAATAAATGTTCCCATAAGCATTCCATCCCTCTACAATCTCATTGGTCTAAATCTCTGTCAGTCAGCCAGAGAAAGGGCACTCATTGGCCATTTGAGGGAATGTGTTGATTGTTTGGTGATTATGTAAGCGCAGGTCACTGTGCCAGTCTGTGCTGTGGTAGGAACAGGAAAGCCAGTGTTTGTTGAATCTGGAGAGCTAAAGTAGGACACACGCTTCCACTTCCTGCCTCATTTCCTGTTTGCCCTTTGACAGCTGTGGGATTCTGGCCTGCGATCACCCAAAAAGACAAAACATCAAGCACAAAACCCCATTAAGAGGCAAAATATAACCACAACGCTCAAAAAAACAATAACATTAAAACATCAAAACAATATTAGAGGCAAAAACACCTTCCAACCGATCATTTTCAGATCATTTTTCACATCAGCAAAAAAAAATGGAGGGGATGGGGGGTAATGTAACTTTGCTTTTAATTTACACTTAAAGCCACACTTAAAAACAGTAACACCATAAGAACAAATACACAAATAACAAGCATATAAATAAAAGTAAGGTCAGTATTCAGGTACAGAAATGTAATCAAATGTAAAATAACACTTTAATGTTCACTGTCTAAACTGAATATAGATTCATATTTATTAAATATGTGTTTTGTTGTTTGGTTAACATTAATGACAATATATTTATAGACTGCTGTCACTTTAAGACCTAACGAACAGATCCAATATAATGATACACATCCGATTTCCTTCTCAACTGTTTAGGGTCACTAAAGACCGACTGTGTTTACGAGAATACTTGCAGAGATGGGTAGATTGACGATGGGTAGTTTTGTATGTATGAGTCCGTTCAAACGCAAGGAGACGCAAAAGACGAATCAATTCGGTGTTAGTGAGGTATCTGAAACGCACCTTCATGCACTTTGGCTGCCTGCGGCTGTATGCTTAGATTACAGCATGCCATCAAGTCAAGAGAAAACATGTCCAAATGATGAACTTTTCACTCTATGATCACCCTTTCACTGAATGATGGTTAAACTTAGCAATTAATCCACAAATCGCATGCGTTCCGAACAGTGGGGCCTGGTCCGTACTCCGTACGGATCATGGATCAACTGCGACCTGTTGCACCCCTACAACTCGACACACATACACACATGCGATTAATTAAGTGAAGGTGAGGGGTTGTAGTCCATTATGTCCCATCACTGCAGTAACACAGCCCCCCCGGCCCCATCTTTCTTAAACTCATCATCTGGAAACACACAGACGGCTCTTTTTAAATTCATTAACCTGATGTCGACTCTCAGGACCCCAGACAACGGTTTAATTTGCAGCCGAAGCTTCTCATTGGTCAACCATGCAACCTGCCTGATTAAAATGAGGCAGAGATTTTTCTCTCATTCCTTGGTGTCCGTTCTCCTAGATTTCCTGTCTCTATGTAAAAATCAATTTTGTAAAGCAGGGAGATCATGCATCCCTTCCCTCCAATCGGCACAGACACCATCAAGTGTGAGTGAGCTGAGTGGGTGAGGTAGCATATGCCTGGCCATGGCTTGAGTGCGTGTGTGTGTGTGTGTTTCTAAATCAGACTAAAATAGCTGCAACGACGTGTAAACGAGTGACTGATCAAAAGATGGAAGGAATCAAAGATGAAACACACACACACTTCACACAAACCCTCAGAGACACCAGACACACACACAATCACATTTCTCAAGCCCCAGGAATAATTGGATATATTTGGTGCAATCAAAGAGACAAAAACAGCCGTAGGTCTGTAGAACTCTTCCATCACACACGCACGCACATTATTATACAAGATTTTTTCAGACTCCTCAGGCCAAATCTTGCTTGACTTTAGCACACATAGAGAGAGAAAGAGAGATGCAGAGGAAGAAGAATGTGTGAGCTGTAGTTATTCAGTCATTTACAGGATATCCTACTGGATCGAGTGCAATGATGCAGCTCTGTGTGATTTTACACACATTTTTGGCTCTGTGTGTGTGTCTGGGAGGGATAATTGAGGACAGCCTTTCTCTTCTACTTTTCCTCTCCCTCTAAAACAGCAAGAGGACACACAGGATCAGTTAGTCATCAGTTCTCAAAGTCATCGTAATCTCAAAACCACACACACACACACTACATGTAAATCCAAAACAGAATCAAAACAGAACATGAAAATAGAAAAACAACCAGCTGGTGTCAAGGGTAGCTTCATAATCCAAAACACAGACTATACGTAAATGTCAAAATCATTGTAGACTGAAGACAATATAGGAATAAAATAATCGTTACATAGGTTGTGGCACAAATATTGTGAATTTGTGATACAAAAATATTTTGAATTGAGCAAGAGAGACTTCTATAAAAAAAAAAAAAATCAACCTTTGTAAAGGTGGTGTAATCTTTTATTCAACATTTTTAAAATAATGATAATTTTCCAATTTCACGTTTGTCTGCATTTCAGATTGCCTCTTTACAGTTACCACGTTACAGCTTTCAGCATCAAACATACACACACACACACACACACACACACACAGTTCCCTCCCAGACAGCAGGAATGCAGCGAAGGAGAAAAGGTCAGTATTGTTCCCAGCTGTGAGCTGTTCTCTCTACGCAACACGCAACTATAAAAACAGTGTGTGTTGGCGTGGTTGTGTAAATCTATGCTGTCTGTGAGTTTACAGTCTTGACCATATGCTTTTAATGGTTCTGCATAACCTGCTAATTACAGAAATACAAGCCAAAAATACTTTGCTTACCACATTGTGAAGGAAAACCAGTAAAAGTCATGCACAAAGGCAAAAAAGAGCAAAACTAAGAAGCGAGCTATTCATAATTTAGTTTAAGAATCACATAGTGATTATGTTAATCACATCATCAAACAGTATGCAGAACAGCCAATCAGATAATCAAGCACACTGATGAACAGCTAATCATGTTATGAAGGTCAATACAACAATAAATGATAAATTAATTGGACCAGATTCCAGAGCAGGGGGTGTTCAATTAAAGTTCCAACTGGATCCAGCGAGGGTCCGGACAATACTTTTTTGGAAAAGTTATACATTTACTAGGGCTGTCAAACGATTAATCGCATCCAAAATAAAAGTTTGTGTTTACATAATATATGTGTGTGTACAGTGTATAATTATTTTGTATATATAATTCTCAAACATGCTTGTATTTAAGAAATATTTTCATGTATATACTGTATATAGATTTATATATAAATTATATTATATATAAATATCAATATTTTATACATAAATCATTTTTTTCTTAAATTTATATGTGTCTATTTATATATACAAAATAATTATACACAGTGCACCCACATATATTTTGTAAACACAAATTTTATTTTGAATGTGATTAATCGCGATAATTTGTTTGACAGCCCTAACATTTACATGTGGACAGCAATATAACTGGATATGAATATTAAAAGCTAAGATCAGTTATTTAAGGAGACTATTAGCCAACTGGGTTTGAAGTCAGATACCCATGTATTGCACATAATGCTTACAAAGAAAAAATATGGACGTTCAGGTTCATTCAAATTTTTGAAAATGTAAATCTGAGGAAGACCATTATCTTTTTTTTTTATACAAGAATTGACCGACAATAAACAATAATATCTAATACGCACTGAGCTATGGTCAGCTGCATCATTATAACACACTGTGTTATAATGATGCAGCTGTGAAAATTTTGAAAAATCTATATTTTATTTTATTTCAAGTAACAAGCTTTTTATATTTAAGTTTAGTTGTTGTATAAAAAAATAGTTTTTTGTTCATAGAAAGATTTGTAATAACTGGTTTTAATTATCTCTACATAAGTTTACATAAAAGTTTTGTTCTTAATTTAATGTTATAAATGCCACAGCTTTCTCAGAAAAAATGTGAAAACTCAAATATGAAACTCTTTATTTCCTGTTCTTCTTCTTTTGGCAGATTTTTGTGTCAATCAAAGTTCTGTTTCCTGTGTTGACTCCCAATATCCCAAAGGAATCATGTCTGGCACTGAGAATGATCTAGTCGACACAGTATTGAGATAGGGGTGTGTACGGGAAGAAACAGCCACAACCAGTGAAAAATACATAAAGATGTTTGCTCACACACACACACTTTTCCCTTTGGCAGATACATTTTCAGTTGCTTTCATCTGCACTTTCCTTTTTTCTTGCCTAGTAATTCCACTTCCTTCCTTCCGTAGAGATTGAGATATCTAACTACTTTGATATCACATCTCTCTCTCTCCAGCGCTAGCTTGTCCTCCTTTGATATGTAATTTAGAGAAACAGAATAATGTATTCCATTTTACTCCATTCAGAGCAGCAAAACAGTAATTTAGTACACATCACACACAGCACTTATGTGTGTGTGTGTGTGTGTGTGTGTAAGACAAGAGAGAGAGCAGAAGGTCAGGGAAAACAGTGAGGTAACTGGGAAAAGGTTCATCACAGTAAGCATAATAACATGTTTGAAGAGCGTTGCTAAGATACTGTCAAATCAGTCCAATCAGAATCTAATCCTCAAACCATATTAAAAAAAAGGATCCTTAAAGCTGAAGTGTATAAAATAAAATAAAAATTAAAAATTAAATCAGAAGACAAAGCTAATTTTGAATGGTCATCAACGAAGAAAGATGTTTTGTTTGTTTTTTTTTGTTTTGTTTTTTTAGGTTTAGATATATAGTGTGTACTTGTGGCATCTACCATCTCTGAGCAACATTGGCTCAACCAATAGTGTGAGTTTGGGGCGGGGCTATCTGTTTGTCCAACCAATGAAGGGAGTGTTTAGGAAACATGCTTTAAAAAAATATTGTTGCCAATAGGTCTGCTGAGTGAAAATGTATATTACAAAAAAACTAACTGTACAACAATTAAACAGAAAAAGTTTTCCATTCACTCTCAGAGGCCAGTTTATTAAAGGGATACTCCACTTTTTTTGGAAAAAGGACTCATTTTACAACTTTTACTTTTTTTGAATCCATTCAGCCGATCTCCGGTTCTGGCGGTACCACTTTTAGCATAGCTTAGCATATGAAGAGTTCAGATGCAAAAGCCTCTAAGTGCCATTTGAAATTTTCTTCTAGAATGATCATTTTTATCAAGCTTGTATATTTAAGTTCAGTAATTTCACTTAAATTGCAATGAGGATTACCTATTAATTGTCATTTAAGTGAAATTACTGAACTTGAATATATAAGCTTGATAAAAATGACCATTTTAGAAGAAAATTTCAAATGGCACTTAGAGGCTTTTGCATCTGAACTCTTCATATATCATTGAAGTGATTGAACATCATTGAACATTTTGGTAATTTTTTTGGGAGAAATGCTAATGGTCTTGTGCACTTCAATTATGTATGCTAAGCTATGCTAAAAGTGGTACCGCCAGAACCGTAGATCGGCTGAATGGATTCAAAAAAGGTAAAACTCAACAGTTTAACTCTGGGGGAGTTGTAAAATGAGCCTATTTCCAAAAAAAGTGGAGTATCCCTTTAAGTACATATCTCAAATATTCAGCAGGACCCCAGAACAGCTCGAATCCTTCATGACATGGATTTAACAAGATGCTGGAAACCTTCCTTGACTGAATATTAAGAAAACAGGTTGGTCAAAAATACATCTCTTCAGGGTTTAACGCTGTCTGACAGGTAAAAAAAGAAAAACAAATACTTGGATATGCAAACAAATTTGACCTATTCCGGAACAGGGTCCGGCACAAATTAAGCACTTGTTATTAAAGGCAGGAACTGGGTTTGGCTTATGAGGAAGGAATGTTGAAGGAAAATGTCCTGCTTGTGTATTTATACTCATTTACACACAAACGAAAGAGAGAGAGAAATTTGGCACAACATAATTACAAAACACATTAAACCGCAATAATCCTGGCATTTTTATCAGACCTACAGATTCCTCCAGTGACCCAGTGATTTATCACCACGCCAGACACTGCCAGGATGCATATGCTAATGATTCAGTTCATTAAACACACTTGACCTAATGCTTGACGTGCAGCTGTATGCGAGTATCTGAGTATTACGTCTGCTTCATAGACGTGCCTCTGCTTTACTTGGCTCAGAGACCCGGGTGACATTATTGTCATGGTGGAAGAGTTTCCATGGTCACGCCTTGAAGGAGAGAACATCCAGGGACTTATTAAAATCGTAAATATTTAAGGCAAGGTCTTTTGAAAGTGTGTGTGTCCACTGCAGAAGGACAAACTGCACATTATTTAGTGCAGTGGGAACGGAGAGAGAACAGCTTTGGAGTGATATCCCACAGAACACAATACACACACACACACACACAAACGCGCTTTTGTTTGCTTTGTCAAGGACGAATTTGACATGTTCTCTACACGTCTTTTCTTTTCTCTGCCTCACGTCAGTGAACTTAATACTGCAAAGGGTAAAAGAAATAGTTGACACACACACTCGCGCACTATGCACACACAGTAATCTGACCTCTACAATACACATTAACTGCCAATATTTGATGTGGCAAACTCACAGGTTATTAAGTGTTTAAACACTTAAGGTGAATGATTGCGACACGTCAAACAATTTCACCACGCTACATTGCCCACAGTCAAGTCCAGACAACCTAACTAAAATACAGGGGAAAAACATCTACATATTAAATATTCAATCTTATACAAATCTTAAATGTTCTGGAATAAGTTTAGATTCTTTGCAGTGTCCATGTAACATGCATTACTATAATTAATTACCCAACTGTACAAAGGTTTTAAATGTTTTTGAAAGTAGTCTCGCTCACCCAGGCTGCGTTTATTTAAACAAACATCAGTTATAGTGTAAAATATTATATGTGTACCTCCCTGTCTCTATATTATAACTCATGTCGGGCAAAAAAAATATTATACCAATTTAAAATAACACTTTTCTATTGTATTCCTATAACAGCAAAACTTAATTTTCAGCATCATTACTCCAGTCTCCTTGTCACACGATCCTTCCGAAATCATTCTAATATGCTGATTTGATTCTCAAAAAACTTTTTTTTATTATTATAAACATTGAAAAAAGCTGTGCTGGCATTAGTATCACTTTTGATCAATTGAAGGCATCCTAGCTAAATTAAAGTATCAATTTATATAAAGGGAAAAAAACAATGACCCCAAACTTTTGAATGGTACTGTATATCTCGCTTTGTGAAAATTGTGTGTACTTATTACATATGGACAGGCTACATTCTCATTTCCATTCTCAAATGTAATGCTTTTTGATCAAAAAGTCTATTAAGATTGTTACGAGGAACAAAGTAGTATTTTCTTAGTTATAAGAGTTTGATCACATTCTTGTCAAGTTGAAGGTTGTGGGTCTGACACTGTGTGTGTGTTTAAAGTTAGGTCATGACTGTGACAGTGTAATTGACACACTCTTATCTTTTAATTGAAAATGTTGATTCTATTGGTTTGCTTCAAACACATCCGAGAAAAAAAAGCTCTCTGGTAATTAATCTGAGGGGCAGAAAATAAACACATTTCACGGATCAATGTTTATATTTCACTCCCTGCCACACACATTTCACTCAGCGAAGAGTGCACACACACACACACACACACACACACACACTGTGATACGTCAGTCGATCTTTGTAAAGTCAAACACCAACCCTCACGGCTCAAAACATAACAGTTAAGCCAGTTACAGGCTTAAAATTCATCTAATAAACAAAAACAATCTCACTTTTGAATGGTAGCAAATACACACATGCAGACACTCACCCCTCGAGTCGGACATCCGGTAAAGATCGGTTGAGTGCGATCATCTCGCTGGCCATCAGGTTAAACTGATTTATCTTAAACATTTCCTTCATCTTCTCTTGCTGGTCTTTAGCGATGACCACTGGCTTTCCCATCTCCCCAGGGCCATCATGAGGCCTCTGAACCAAAGCTGAAACACAAACATGCAGATTTAAGATTGTTTCCTTGGCTTTTGATTAAACTTATAGTTCACTTTTAAAAAAACTTTTGCTGATAATTTACTCACCCCCATGTCATCCAAGCTATCCATGTCATTCTTTTTTCAGTCGAAAAGAAATTAAGGTTTTTGATGAAAACATTACAGGATTTTTCTCCATATAATTGACTTCAATGGGAACCAAACAGTTCAAGGTCATTGAAAGGTAATGTCTTTTCGACTGAAGAAAGACTGACATAGATATCTTGGATGACATGGGGTTGAGTAAATTATCAGCAAAAAGTTTTTTTAAAAGTGAACTACTCCTTTAAGTATGGGTGTTTGTCCAACTATGGACACTTGTGAGAAACGCACATACCATACTGTGGACTTTTAGAAAATAAACTCATCACACTCTCACTAGTTTATTAAATATGTACAATCGTGGATATATACACACATCACCAGAATATTCTGATTTTTTTTAAAGAATATTTTTATATGAAAAAAAAACACAGCACCACAGTTGAATTTCCACCACATCTCAATTGATGTATTCTGTGATTGGAACAACAGGCAATAAAAAAAGTCTGACTCCTTTGTCTTTCTAAGGCTAATTTGCACAGCTCATATTTTATGTAACCTAAATACCTGTACACACAATCAAATTAGACTGTGACACTTTTTTTGAATAAATTGAAACTGCAGCTTGAATGGAAATGGGGGAGTAAAAAAAATTCTGTCCCCAAATCCCAAAGAATATTTACATGAACATTTATTTACATAAAAAAAACATTCAAATTTTATCTGTCATGCTCTTCACTGAGACTGGTCTCCTTGACAAACAAGTAAACAAACTTATAAAAAAAACATACAATCATGGCCTAAAATTAACACTCGCCAAGCGCCACATGAAAAGAATGTGTGGCCTCGATGTCCGTGCAAAATTGTTTATTGTGCCGTGTGTGTGAAGTGTGTTTTTGTAGATTTCGGGTGGGTAGATAAGCGCTGAGCTTTGATCATTAATAACTCAAAAAGCATGCTTTGGTGAGATTAAGGTCAGATTTGCAACCGTGTAAGAGATTACATCTGCTCTAAGAGGCAAACTGTCTGTTTGTAAGCCCTGTGTCATGTGTGTCTAAGCGTACACTGTGTGTGTGTATGAACGGGTGTCAAGTGGGCAGGATTTAGCTGTTCGCACTGAGCGCATTACAAGGCAACTTTGTCCTGTTTCCCTGCTCAGCAAAATCCAATGGCTTTCATGAGGTATTCTGGGAGTAGAAATCATATATAGGCTAATCATCGCTATAGAAACACACACAAGCAGCAGAAAATGTGCTTTATTAATATGATAAGCAGATTATTTTAGGGTTATTGTTTCATGTGATGATGGCCAAAGTAAAGAAGCTTGAGTGACCACCCTGAACAAACCAAACTGACCTGATACAGGGGTCAGACAAACGAAATCTTTGTAAGAGGATGAGCTTTCCCACTGCATTCACATCCACTTCAATTACATTTTTGTCACATAAAAGTAATCTAAAATGTCCTTAAATCAAATATATACATTTACAAGTAAGACTGACATTAACAACAGAAAATATAGGGAAGCATTTTCTCCATATTTCTGGTTGATCTGTCTGTTGGAAATCTGTTATTTTGCTACTGGTCTGGAACCTTGCTCATTTGTACGGTAAGTGGCATTGCATTATTTGCTTTTAGCATTGAATTTCCCCTTCTCCCCTTTACCACATCAGAATGGCTCTGCAACCCACCAGTTGAGAAGCACTGCTCTTGATTTCTTCCACTCTCCATCCTCTTAAATAAGCTGCACAGCTGGAATGTGGTTGTATCCTTCAGATGATGCAGAGCCAATACAGCTCTAAAATGATCATATTTCTACTCTTTTTCTCTCCCACAGAAATACACACAGTTCAATACCTACCCTCTTACTGTGTGTGTGTGTGTGTGTGTGTGTGTGTGTGTGTGTGTTGTGTGTGGGAGTTGATGAGTGCTTTCTGAATTAGCTGTATTTGTGTTTTGAGTTATTTAGCTACAGTATACTTTGGGAACACAATGTCTGCAGACGTTAGCTATATCTGACAAAATTTTCTTTTGGGAACATCCAGTGATGTCTTCAAATTGCACAAAAAGATTTAGTAAATAATAGGTTTGGGAACTGAGAAATGGTTCATATTTCTTTTACAATAACCAGAGAAGAATTATGGTCATATTCAACTTGAAATAAAGAACAAGATCTGGTACTGTTATGATGCAGCTAGTTAAGGTTCATGTGACTTAAATCAGTGTAATTAGTGGGGTAAAGTTTCTATATATATATATATACACTCACCGGCCACTTTATTAGGTACACCTGTCCAACTGCTCGTTAACACTTAATTTCTAAGCAGCCAATCACATGGCGGCAACTCAGTGCATTTAGGCATGTAGACATGGTCAAGACAATCTCCTGCAGTTCAAACCGAGCATCAGTATGGGAAAGAAAGGTGATTTGAGTGACTTTGAACGTGGCATGATTGTTGGTGCCAGAAGGGCTGGTCTGAGTATTTCAGAAACTGCTAATCTACTGGGATTTTCACGCACAACCATCTCTAGGGTTTACAGAGAATGGTCCGAAAAAGAAAAAACATCCAGTGAGCGGCAGTTCTGTGGGCGGAAATGCCTTGTTGATGCCAGAGGTCGGAGGAGAATGGCCAGACTGGTTCGAGCTGATAGAAGGGCAACAGTGACTCAAATAACCACCCGTTACAACCAAGGTGGGCAGAAGAGCATCTCTGAACGCACAGTACGTCGAACTTTGAGGCAGATGGGCTACAGCAGCAGAAGACCACACCGGGTGCCACTCCTTTCAGCTAAGAACAGGAAACTGAGGCTACAATTTGCACAAGCTCATCGAAATTGGACAATAGAAGATTGGAAAAACGTTGCCTGGTCTGATGAGTCTCGATTTCTGCTGCGACATTCGGATGGTAGGGTCAGAATTTGGCGTCTACAACATGAAAGCATGGATCCATCCTGCCTTGTATCAACGGTTCAGGCTGGTGGTGGTGGTGTCATGGTGTGGGGAATATTTTCTTGGCACTCTTTGGGCCCCTTGGTACCAATTGAGCATCGTTGCAACGCCACAGCCTACCTGAGTATTGTTGCTGACCATGTCCATCCCTTTATGACCACAATGTACCCAACTTCTGATGGCTACTTTCAGCAGGATAATGCGCCATGTCATAAAGCTGGAATCATCTCAGACTGGTTTCTTAATCGCAATTAATTGCACATTTTTAGCTATTCTAAATGTCTCTTGATTTCTTTTTGTCACATTATTTTTCTCATTTTAATGTTCTTATCTACATGTAAAAGTGGATCGGCTTGCTTTGAGCAAATGTTTTTTATTGAAAACAACATTGGCATATACTGTGTTGAAATTCACACTAAAATTCTCACTTGGAGCAAATAATCTCTCACACAATGTCCACTGTCCATAAATAAAAGGGTGAAAGAAATACTGAGAGGATCTGATATTGATGAGGGGGTGGAGAATTCGCATCAGCAGTCTGTGTGTGTGTGTGTCCTTGGCCATCATCAAGCGGTATTTCAGACTGGACGTGCTGCGATGATGATAGCTCAGTTCACAACGACAAAACACACAGATCACTTTGGTCTTGTCAATGGAACCATTTGGCAACTTTTTAAAAGTAAACTTTCTGTTCAGAATATTATTGGCATCCATTTCGGTGTCTCGCGCTCGTCATCCACTCAAAACGTAACGTGAACCAACTATTTGGCCTGCTCGCAAGCCCAAACGAGTGTGTGCGGAGTGCCTATTGTTTTGTTTACGGTCTTGCTTGATCCGCTTGCATTTTGGTAGACGTAGCAACAAAACGTCCTCGCGCTGCGCAAGCCATTGAAATGAATGGGTTTCAGAGCGCAGCGTGCGCATACCACGTCCTGTTGGAAAAGCATGTGAAAGAAAACTACAAAGTTTGCTAGGCCAAAAAGACCGTTAATCACGCCATAAAAAAATTTGATGCCGTTAAAATGGGTTTGCGTTACCATTTAACTGACAGCCCTAATATATATATATATATATATATATGTTTTATATAAGTATACATATTTAAATGATTTATTTGTCTATCCCACAAAAAAATAAAAAATAAATCTGTCAAAACATGTATTGAGGAGACAGCTGACAAAGAATTTACCGTGGTAACCATAAAACTATATTAGCCACAATGCATTAAACATGAGATGACACAAAATAATAGAAAAATTCCAAAATATTCTGTATTTATTTATTACAGAATTCAGTGCAATACTTTGTAATAATACCAAAAAGTGTGTGCGTGCGTGTGTGTGTGTGTGTGTGTGTGTGTGTACTTACTGTCTCTCCCCGGCAATCCTCTCTCTTTTTTTTCATCACATTTGTTGCATTCGCTGAAGTAGAGAAGGATGAACATGTCTATCATCACCCACACCAGAGAAGTGGCCAGCACCACCTTACAGTACGCAAACTTCCTCATCTTCACACCTGAAACGCACACAAACACGCACAGTATGTTACACACACAGGTGACAAGAAAACACTTGCAGCAACCAGACATGGTTTATAGCATACAGAAATCTGTTACAGCTTACAGTATACCAGCCTGTTTTAAACACCACACTCAAGCAACAAACATACTACATCTATACAAGCCTTGATGTTGAGTAATAGCTTACCATAGACAGCTACCTGGAAAAGTTACAAACACAGACACTTTATCATCTTCACACCAAAATAAAGCACTAGAGGTTTTCCAAAGAGACCATAGAGGGGCCATATTCTCACATTTTATACTTTTCCCTAAAGTCAGTGGATAAAGTAATGGTTTCTTGCACCAAAAAAGTCTCTCTAAACCCTTGGAGAATAAATCTTCTACAACAGTCTATTTTTGCTAACGTATCTTTAAGACATATGTAAATGACCACCGACCACTGACTGCCGAAGCTCGGAACAACACCACCAATTTACTGAATATTTGAACAGAATTCGATATGTAAATGTGTGTGTGTGGGGAATTTTTTATTTTATTTTTATATAACTCTAATTTATATAAAAAGAGTAAGAAAAATCCATTGTTCCATTATTTTCTGTGACCTCCGTTAAGGGCAAACAACTCAAGCAATGAAAGGAGAATGCTAATAAGACAATTGACCCAATACACCACTTCTGTAGACGATTCAGAGTAATTATTCCAAAAACTGCTCAAACAGAATCTCAGATTTGACCTTTGCCCTATTGGTGGGTGCAAATTCCATTCTTTAAAATGGTTTCTTTAATCAAGCTATCTGCCTGCATTAATGAACTAGAAATGAATCTTTTATTAGCCAACTAGAAATGCAATGAGAAAAGGGGAGAGATGAAGAAAATGAAAGGGAAGGAATTAGATGATGTTCCTATGGGAGGTGAGCAGTGTGTGATATGCTTTGATAAAGGAGAGGTCATTATAACATAATTACATGGCACCACCAATCACACTCTGAGAACTTCAAGGCAAGCTCCAGTGAATCTCTACAAAATCAAAATAGTCCTAAATATTCAAAACCGATTTGTAGAGCACACATTCAGTGAATGTGTGTGTAAAAGTATGTCTTATATATAACAGGTTAAAAAACACGCAGTACCAGACTCAGGAAACAATTTCTTTATGTGGCATCCTATGACAGTGACACAATCAAAGGACCATAAAGGGATAGTTCACCCCAAAATGAATGTCATCCAAAACCTGTATGGTTACACAAAACAAGATATTTCGAAGAAGGTTCAACTGTATTTGTCCATAAAATGGATAATGTCTTTGTGGTTCAAAACAACATAAAGACAAAAAAAAAAAACGACAAAAAAACAAAGAAAGAAAGAAAGACCAGGTTTAAAACAACATTTATTTATTCCAGCCCATTACAGACTATCTTGTGCTGCATGTTTGAGTAGGAGGCTGTCTAGCACACTGCAGTTGACAAAAAAACAAACCTGAAAGACTCTCCTCAGTGACTCTCTCTCTGGAGAGCGGGATCAAACTTCTGCCATTGTATCCGTCCAACTGTATCTCTAGAGTCGGTGTGTGTGTGTGTGTGTGTGTGTGTGTGTGTGTGTGTGTGATTACTACTTCTTTGCCTGTGTTTTGATCTGGAGTTACTGTATCTGTTCAGGAGATACGTAACAGCGCCCCTACCTTATAACCCTGAAAAACTCGTCATTGGCAGGGAAGCGTTTTCTCATAAACAACTAATTTAATTAGGTTTAATTTATTTAATTAATTTATTAGTTTTAATTTATTAAACACAAAATCTTACAAACTCCAAACATTTGAACTGTTTAAAAAAATTATTATGTATTTTTTTTTTTTTTTTTTAACAAATATACTGTAATACTCTAGGACAGGGTTAGTAATTAAATCAATCTATCTAAATGTCAGTGTGCTAAATTGTGCAGGTGCGACTATTAAGAGATTTAAACAGAGCAGTATGATGTTAAAGTAGTCAAAGCTTTGCCAAAATCCTCTGGCATCTGATGTCTCTGAGGGGGTCTCACCAGCAGTCAAAGAGTTTGTGTGTGTTGAGCTCAAGGTTATGACTGGCACAGCAGTAATGCCACTGTTCTGGTGGCCCTCGTCCATCACAGTGGCAACGCCATAGGCCCCTGCCCACACCAGCTGGGCGAGACATTCATCACCGTGACAACACACACACCTGAGTGAGCACAGACCTGTACGATGAAAACAGACACGCATATCCCTAGTGCAATCGTCCCACAATGGCAAAGTGTGACATCATTAACCTAAACTAAATATAATATTAAAAAAAAAAAAACTATTACAATGTGTCATTCTACAGATAAAAATGAATGAAAATACAATACCATCTAAACTCTTTACAAAACAGTTTGAATAAAATCTCCCTCTTCACACTCCTGTTCTCTTACGCACAGTCCATTTGTTACATTCACCAATACTATATGTGCAAAACACACTTTCTTGGATAAATAATATTGTCTTATGAGGTGGATAGTCATTTTTTCTCAGGGTGATGTATGTAAAAGAATATTTGCATGACTCACTGATATAGCTTAAGCATCCGGATAGCAATTAGGTCATGTAAGAACAGAAGAGGTAACAACACATGCGGATGCCAGATACAACAAACACTCTTCTTCTAAGTACTTAATCTAGTTACGTAAACACAAGAGTTTGACAAGCAGTGATCAGTATTTCAAAACAACTTTTGGTGCAATTTAGAGAGGCCAACTTGGATGGGATTGGGAATTAAAGAACCACATGAACGTGCTCGGTTACTAACGTAACCTCGGTTCTCTCTAGAAGAGGGAACGAGTACTGTGTAATATCTTACACGAGGGGGAAACCCTCTTTTCCACGACATATTGAAGCCAAAAATTATCCTTAATTTTGAATTGATATAAAACACGTTGCGGCAGCATGTCGAAATAGGTAAGACGGCTCGCATGCCTATTGGCTGTCCTGCGTAAACTGCCTAACGAGAGAGGCCCTTCGCACCCACTACATCATGTTCCGCCGAGACGGGCGTGGCCTGGGCCTATAAATATAGCTTGATGGGCTGATATAATCTGTTTTTTCATCATCAAAGTGAACCAGAGCATGTTGCAGGCACGGCAAAGATACGCAGTACTCGTTCCCTCTTCTAGAGAGAACATTAGTAACCAAGTACATTCTTACGAGAGGTTCTCTCGTACTGCGTAATATCTAACTCAAGGGGAACAACACAGTGTAAAACGCCATGTGTGCTGGGATCCAACACCAAAGTCCCAAGGGCAGGTGCCCAGGGCTCATATAGTGCATAATCACCGGGGACTCACAAAGAGTCTGAGAAGAGAGGCTAGAAGCATCATTCCCAATAAGTTAGGCGTCCTAAGGGAGCTAATCACATCAACAGTGTTCCACACAGTCAGCGGGTTCAAATGCAGAAGGCTTTTCTCAGACGGCGTGGTTTCTTCACTCTGGATCCAGCGATGTGTGAGCTTCGCTGAAGAGATGAATGAAGAGATGCCCAGGCCCGCGCGAAGCGACCCCCATTGGATCTGACATCATCAAGGGCCTCTCTCGATAGGCTACTGGAGTTGCCGTTGCACGCGAGCTGTCTTGCCAATGTCTGCATGCTACCGCAACGCGTTTTACACGAATTCAAAATTAAGGATAATTTTTGCCTTCAATATCCCAAGGAAAAGAGGATTTCACCCTAGAGTAAGATATTATGCAGTGTGAGAGAACCTCTTGCAAGAGAACCTGGTGTTTTTCAAAAAACTGCAGGTAAATTAAGATTTTATCTTGGGAGAAAAACAGATTTCTGAATCAGACAGCAATAAAGCATCTCTAGCACCTGTAAAAGCTGAAATGGCATCAAGTGCTACAAAGTATAACATTACTTTCTCAATGCAAGTTCTGCACCTGCAAACCCCTTAGCAAGTATCAGAGTGGGACTGAGATTTTTCTTTTCAGGTTAGAAGTTTCACTTCCTGTGTTACTTCCTGCAAGGGCTTCTTTACATCTTTTCATGTAATGCAATATTCATGCTGTTTCTGATACTGGAACATATGGACAGGCACACCACCTGTGTGTGTCACATGCTTGGAGGGGGTTTGGGGAGGGGTTTCCTGTTCAACACACCACACACAAACTGGAATACGAGTTAGCCTTCGATCATACAAACAAATCCAGCACATAAAACGGATAACATGAGAGTAACAGACAGAAATGAGGGGGGGAAAGGACAGAGGAAGAGAACAAGTGAAAGATAGAGAACAGTCACATTTTAAAGCAGAGAGTGTCTTAACAACTCTGGCTGGCAGGAAAACAGATGGGCGCAGAAACCAGCTCACTTGCTTGCACCCCTGGTCGCATCAGACACACACGCACAGAAATGTGAAACGGGAGGATAATTAACTTTCTTTGGCTGTTGCCGTCTGTTAGAGAAAAGCAAATTAAACCCCTACAGCATCTCCTTATTCCAATTCACAGTCCCTCCATCTTTCTCCCTACGTCTCCACCTCTGTTATCTCCCTTTTGAAATGTTTCTGTGAAGTTCCCTTATTTCAGACACACACTAGCAACAATGGAGAAAAGAGAAAATGTCATCTTAGATTATGATACCTCTGCGAAAGCCACTGTATCTCCTCATGCACCATTTATATTGAATATACATACAGATAGAGAAACAGAGATATAATAGTAATTATCAAAACTATTAAACCTCCATTGCAAATCAGGTTTATTGACAAATTACAGACTTTCCGCTGTTTGCAATGAACAAAACAAAGCTAAAGTAATTGAAATGCCTCAATACAACAAATGTTTCAAGTGGTTTCTTAAATTCAATTGAAAATGCAACTTTTAACGACTTCTGCAGTCTCAAAATTATTCAACCCCTTCATGGCCAGAATTTTTTGCACGTAGTACAAAAGTACTGGCCCCTAGTTCGGTAATATTCTTAGGTTTGCGTGCTGCAACCGCAACCTTG